CAGGAGGTCTACCACTGTGCTCCATTTATGTACCCCTATCATATGTACCCCTCTTTCCTGCTGTTGAAGACAGGCCTTGTTGGGGGCATGGAACTGTGGTTCTAGTCATTAAAATGTCTTGAGTTCTGTAGGAACTGGTTTTAGCCTGTCTTTTGGATGGATTGTATTTTGTTGTCTTGAAGTTAGCCCTGGCCCATGGCCTGTTCCATTTGGTCTCGCTGTGTATTGAATACTTTGTGAAGAAAATGAATCTAGACTGAAGGGAGTTGAACTTAAGTGTATGTCTTTTGACGGCTCTCTGAACAGAAAACAGAAACTCTATTTTTATTCTTTAAGGGCTGCTCCGCTCCAATGGCGTCACCTTTGTGTTCTAATTGATTGACTCCTTTTGTGGCTTCCCCCCTTTCTCTGGTGTTTCATTTGATGGTTCAGAAAGAAAGAAAGAAAGAAAGAAAGAAAGAAAGAAAGAAAGAAAGAAAGAAAGAAAACTTCTTTGCCAACGTGGCATTACTTTTGCAAAGCAGAAAACAAATAGGCCACCACTGGATTCTTACATTGCCCATTGGTAGCAAACACAGCAGACAACTGTGTAGACTGAGGGCCGAGGTGACAGCAGCAATGACTTGCCAAACCTTTACAAAGGGAAAGCTGTGCATCTTACCAACAATGATGTACTCATAAGGTCAGAGACAGAGAAGTGCTGTGCATGCTGGAAATGGGAGGGAGGATCGCACATTTTCTCTTTAATGGAAACCTCTGGAGAAAAAATGGTTCTAATCAGAGCAGGCATTCTAGTCACTATAAACAAATTCTAAGACAATAGCCTATAAGGACATACAGTTTCACAGTCATTGTACAGTCATTGTACGTGTTGTTGTCTTATGTCTGAGCACCATCTAATACTTAATATTTGGAAGATAATTTGTTATCAAATCCTTTTAGCTGGATCAGTAATGAAGAACAGCCTTTCCTTACTCTTTTTTCTTTTGTTTTGTTCCCTGACAAAATCCAGACATGAAATACCTAGCTTAAAATAAAAAAGGATTGTACCTTAGGATAGAAATGATTCTAGGGATAATTGGTTTTCATTTATATTGCATCATTCTCTCATGATGTACTACAGTGCTATGGCTGTCTAGGCACTGGTGGCTGGGGACACGGGTGGCGTTGTGGTCTAAACCACTGAGCCTCTTCAGCTTGCCAATTGGAAGGTCAGCAGTTCAAATCCACGTGACGGGGTGAGCTCTTGTTGCTTTGTCCCAGCTTCTGCCAACCTAGCAGTTCAAAAGCACACCAGTGCAAGTAGATAAATAGGTACCGCTGCGGCAGGAAGGTAAACGGCGTTTCTGTGTGCTCTGGCATTTGTCACAGTCCTCCATTTACCAGAAGCAGTTTAGTCATGCTGGCCACATGATTTGGAAAGCTGTCTGTGGACAAATGCTGGCTCCCTCGGGCTGAAAGCGAGATGAGCACTGCACCCCATAGTCACATTTGACTGGCTTTAGCCGTCCAGGGGTCCTTTACTTTTTACCTTATCTAGGCATTGGTGTACAGTGGTACCTCGAGTTAAGAACTTAATTCGTTCTGGAGGTCTGTTCTTAACCTGAAACTGTTCTTAACCTGAAGCACCACTTTAGCTAATGGGGCCTCCTGCTGCTGCCGCCGCGCCACCAGAGCACGATTTCTGTTCTCATCCTGAAGCAAAGTTCTTAACCCGAGGTAATATTTCTGGGTCAGCGGAGTCTGTAATCTGAAGCATAACCTGAAGTGTCTGTATCCCGAGGTACCACTGTATGTTCTTTATAAAGTTACATTTTTAACTTCTCCAAACTCAATATCCAACAGATTAGAAATTCACATTATCCTAAAAGATTTTGGATAATTATCATTGCACATTGCAGAAATTAATCTGTGTTAGGTATTCTGCTATATGCTAGAAAGGTGACAAGGCTATTTTTGTGATTCAACTCTCAATAAGACTCTTTATATGTTTGATGTTCTATTATGTATCTGGATGCTTCAGGCCAACAAAAAGAATACAGTTGGATCCAGAGCTACACAATGTAAGGCCAGTTCAGACACTAACACATGGTTTAACACTGTATTCATAAACAAAATGAGCCTTGGGGTCATGTGCTCTCCCCGTCCCTGTGCAACTGTGAGGAAGAGATTGGAAGCTTTCACTTGTGCTTTTAAACAAGCCTGGGGTTCCTGTTACATCTGAACTTTGAGAAACGCTGGTTAGTTCAAACAAGCCAGGATCAACCTAGGAGTTATGTTACTATCTTGTTCACAAACCAGACTTCATACTTTGTTTTTTACTAGAATCTTGAGATCCACCAGTCAGAACCGGGAACTAGAAAAGTGTGTGGTGGTGTGGTGTGGTGTGTGTCTTCTGTACACTTAGAATCAAGTACCCAGGTGCTTCTGAGCAAAGAAATTTGTTTTCTACCAGTAGATCCCAATCTATCACCTCCCCACCTTCAGAGTTCCCTGAGCTTGTGCATACAGGTGCCTGGTTAGTTTCAAAGCAGAAGTGAAAAGTTCCAATCTCCCTTTGCAGCTGTATTAGAGCAGGGGGGAGCCTGCAAGCCCAAAGCTTGTTCATATAATGCTAAACAAGAGGTTAGCACAGTGCCTGAAAAGGCCCATAAAGTCCCTAATGTAGAGAACAATTAAAGGCAAGTGGAGGAAAGTTATCCATAACCCTTGGATATCTGTGACCCCATTAACCGCACAGTATCAGCATAATATGTGCCTGCTGCTGTTGCTTTAATTGAACATAGGTTGTCAGTCTACATAAGGACCTATATATTTTAAAGTGCTTCTTTCCTAGTATGAAACAAAGCTTAAGTTTTTGTTCGGTTTTTGTTATATAAACTTATATATATAAGTTTTTGTTATATAAAGTGATTCATATAAACTGAACACTGTTCTGGCAACTTTCCTACCATCATAATTGCTTCCTTGTGTCATGTTTGCTCCATTGTTTTACATTTAATCTGAATGCTGTCTTCGCATCTTTATGCTTCTGTGTTCTACCCCCTCAGGCTGCAGTCCTCTCTGTGCTTGCCTGAAAATAAGCCTCATTGAACACAGCTGGACTTCGTTTTGACCAATCATGCATAGGATCAGGCTCTGCATAATTTGCGTGCTGTGGCTGGATTTGAAGTCCTTCGTTTTGTGCCTACTTCAGCTTTCCAGCTCAAAAAATGTTTTCTTCCTTACTGAAAATCTTTTCACTTTCTGTAAATGATGGCTCCCACTATTATAAGGATTACTGATTTCCAGAAGCAGAAGTTGGAAATAAAAGAGGAAGTGGCTTTGGGGAGAGCAGTTTGGGCTGCCATCATTGTAAAATGGTCCAAATCTAGACTTCTTCCAATGAGAAGTTAGAAGATATCACCAACAGATAGTATGCAAGCTAGAATTTTGTAGTCTCCAGTCACAAAAATAGGGTGGACTGAGATGAGACGCTGTGTGAAAACTGGGAGCATAACTTACACCCTGATCTGAAATGGCTTTTAGTGGAAGTAAACCATTCATTCCATTGGTGTTTTCTTCCAGATTGAAGAATGGACTGTCATAGCAAGAGGTTCTGGGAAATTGCTTGGAATGTGCATTCATCTTCCATCAGCAGACTAGGAAGGTTCTAGTAAAACCTGATCACTTTAACCAAGCCTGCCTCAAATTGTGTGGAGGCTGTGCATGGTTTATGAGCAGGATTGTGCCCAGATGGCTCTGCCTCTGGGCTTTCCTTGAAATCACATGTTAAGTGGAAAATGCAAATAGGACTTACACATAGAGTTCAGTACTCAAAGGCCTGATCTTGTACATCCTTAGTTTTTATAATCGATTTAAAAACCATATGGATCAGGTCTACATTCTGTCTATAAGTTCCAGTCACCCCTAAGGGTATGGAATGATGCCAGAGGTGGGGCAGTTGCACTGGGTAATCAGCTTCTGTTCACTGACCCAAAAATTAAAAGTTGATTTGAAAAAAAAAGCAAATGTCTCTAAAGCTTGGACAGGTTTAATAAAAATAAAGCCAATGTTCATCATGCTGTGTGTTCCATTTTGTTTTGCTGTTCCTGCTTGCTTTCATGCAACAGACTTATTTGAAAATGTGACTCTTGCAAGGGGTGTAACTCTTGCAATAATTCCTGGAATGGCAGGGGAAAGCGGATGCTCTCTGTATCCAGAGGCCTTCCTAGATACAGCATTCTTTGTTTTGTTTGGCTGCAGGCTGTTTCCTTTGTTATATCAGTGCTTGTTTTCCTCTGAGCTAGTATGTGTTAGGGCAGTTTGGCCATGAAAGTTTGTTTTGTTGTTGAACTCTGCTTTTATGGTTGAATAGTAAGCACTGTTGAGAGCTTATGTTTCTGTGATCCTTAAAAAATAAGGAAGCCCAGATCTCAGTGCTAAAAGAACCCCTCTTGTTTTGATGTTACTTAGCAGAGGCCATAGTGGGTCCATCTCCTGTGTGGGGTGAACTTTGTCACGCTGGCACAGCTTTAGGTCTTGTCCCTCCCCGCAGGCTTCAGGTGGGCTATTCATCATCTCCTTTAAAAATAAAGCTGCACCAGGGTTGGAGGAGGAAGAATGGGTGTTGGTGATAACAGAGGCACTAACCAATAGGCACTCTCCACACCTAGCTTTTCAAACCACCACATGAAATACTTGCAGAACCGGCCCCCCAGAGCTTGCCCCAGAACAGATAAAGCTGTGCTTGTATTGAGCGGAGTGGGACCTACTTTCAAATTTTCACCACTGCTCTTGAAATGTTAAGTATGTTTCACTTACAAAGATCCATGTCCCAGTCCAGAATGCATTTGTACCAGTCACTTCAAACTGAAGTGTACTGACATACATAGCATTCAGGTTCATGTCAGGATTAGGATCTTTATCGGGTATAAAAGAAGCATTGTTGTTTCGATCTTGACCTGTCTTTCAGCGGAAAGCTAAGATTGTGCTTAATTTTGTTCTCTTCTGATTCACAGCAATTTCCAGTGGAGTGAGGAAGATCTTTGGGTTTATCAGGTGATTATTGGTCAATACCCTAGTGACATGCAAGGCAGAAGAACTCTTTACTTGGATATGCTGCAGAAACATCTACCTCACAAATCTAGGCAAGATCTCGTAAGTGGTAGCACTGATTGTTTAGTTGTTGTTGTTGTTGTTAATATTATTTATTAAATGTGTTAGTAGCATAATCTTGCCCAGGGCAACCCATAGCAACTTGCAACCAACCAACCAACCAACCAACCAAACAAACAAACAAACAAACATACAATGTACCCCACATAGATGCATTAAAACCAAAAGGAAGGAGAAGTGTGTGTGTATATATGTTTGTATGTATGTATGTATGTATGTGTATAAATGTGTGTGTGTGTGTGTGTGTGTGTGTGTGTGTAATTTGCATACCACCCTTTATCCATAGGTCTCAGGGCAGTTCACAACATTAAAAACATCCCACTCATTTCTAAAAGACCACAGAGGGTTAAAGGCCAAAGACCTGGTTATAGAGGAAATTTTTTGCCAGGCCCCTAAATATATGTCATGAAGGCACCAAGCAGGCGTCTCTGTGGAGAGCACTGCACAAGCGGGGGAGCCGCTGCAGAAAAGGCCCGTTCTTGTGTGGTCACCCTTCTGACATCTCGTAGAGAAGTTACACGAAGATGGGCCTCAGATGATAAATTCAGGGTCCGGGTTCGCTCATATGAGGAGAGGTGGTCCTTGAGTTATTGTGGTCCTGAACAATTTAAGGCTTTATAGGTCAAAACCAGCACTTTGAATAGGGCCCAGGAACCAATTTGGCAGCCAGCGCAGTCAGACCAAGATTGATGTTATATGCTCAAATTGTCCTGCCCCGGTAAGCAACTTAGTTCAGTATTGTAATGAGTGTTTGATTTAGCATGTTTTCTGTGGAGGTGGATTTTTGTATATACTAGACAACAACTGCCATTCTGGTGGCATAAAATGTGGCACCCAAAGTCACATAATGGCTATTTAACTGTGTTAGTATCTTGGATTGTTGCTGTAAATATTTTGCAACCTACATAGGGTGTCCTAATTTCCCATGTACTGTGACCATCCGTAATCTTTCAACATAGTGAGCACACAGAAAACCTATGCATATAATTTTATGAAACTGAATGAATGAATGTGTTGCAAGGTTACTATAATGATGCAAGAATTGAAGATTCTTTGTTGAACTAGGATCTGAAGAAGCTTGTATACTCAAAGTCTGGGATCCAGTGAGTCAGTGGGCCCGTTATGGTTGCATTTTCCAGCCATAGGCCAGATGATATCCCATCTTAAAAGCATCTTCAGCTTCCCCTGCATCTCTTTTACTTTTGATTTTAATTGCTTGTGTAGCCCTTTCCCACAACTTTTGTGATATAATCTGCAGGCATGATTTGTCCTTGTCATATAAGATGATGAATTTGCGCGCATGGTTTTCAGTACACTCACTCACACACCCCTTTTGCTGAATAGGTATTGATGTAACATTTTATGTGAATTAAAAATGACAAAGAAGTAACATTTAATGAAACAGGGCCAACACAGGGCAGTGCTGCTGGCTTAATGTGAAGATGGACTACTTGTAATATTTAAGATAATGAGAAGATACTTGGGGTGGGACTCTAATAACTAGCTAGCCCTTGTAAACTTAGAGGAATCTTGGTGGAGAAAAGCAAGTTTCTTGCACCCCCAGGAGGGCCAAGGAAACCCAGTGTGATCTTGAGGTCCTGTTTTTTTAGTACTTCCTTTAGTACCCGTATTTTTCGCTCTATAAGACGCACCTAGTTTTTGGAGGAGGAAAACAAGAAAAAAAATATTCTGAATCTCAGAAGCCAGAACAGCAAGAGGGATCACTGCGCAGTGAAAGCAGCAATCCCTCTTGCTGTTCTGGCTGCTGTGATAGCTGCGCAGCCTGCATTCGCTCCATAAGACGCACACACATTTCCCCTTTTTAGGAGGGAAAAAGTGAGTCTTATAGAGCAAAAAATTCGGTACTTGCCCAGGATTCCTTCCCACCTGGGGCTGAGAGGGGTGGTGATGGCAATGACTACTGGATAGTTCTAAGATGCAACTTGCCTACTTGCAAGGCGGTTGTTCATGGAAGGGGATAAACAGGCTCTCCTAGATTTCCCCTTCCTAGTACACTGGCTATAAAACTTCCCCATATGCATTGGGACTTCCACAATGTCCTTGTCCATCTGCAGATCCTTGCATTGCATCACCCAACTTCCAGGATGAGGAGGAGCTTAGGGGCTTGCAATCAGAAAGGAATCCTTTGAACATCCTGCTCTCTGCCTGGCACTATAGATCTTAACCATCATATGTTACAGGAATAGGGAACTTGTGGCTCTCCTTCAGGCCCAAGCAGCATAGCCAATGGACAGGGCTGATGGGATTTGTAGTTCAGCACCTGAAGAACCACAGTTTCCCCATCCCAGGTCTAGTGGGATTTTAGCAAATTTAGAAATATGAATTGCCCAGCATAATAGCCATTTGTTTCATTAAGAACTGATTTATAATATGACTTAATTGTAGAATAAGACTCCATTTCTACCAGCAAGGCTATTTTACGACCCTTGTAATTATAGGTGGTACTTAATTTATGTGCATGGACTTTGATTATATCCTAACTCTCTCTATGAGCTCATAGCAAATCACAACAGCATCAAGTCATTTCTAAACAATGAAATGTTCACGTAATGCCTCCCCTTCAAGACAACCCAAGAGAATGACAGTGCCATCTAAGGCCTCTTTTACTCCCGAACCAGTTGCTGTCACATTACATTGTTGCTGCATTTTGCCTGAGCTTTTCCCTCTTACAAAGTGACACAGTTTGTGTTTATAGTTTTTTTTACGACTAATTGTATCGATCCCTGAGATTACTCTGGGAAGAGAAGTGCTTATTATGAGGTCTTTTGGTGATTCTTTCTCTCCGTTCTCTGTGCGTAACTCTGTTCTCATCCCTTTGCCAACTTGAGAATGTAACCTTTTATTAAACGTATCTTTGGGCTGCTAGTTTCCTTAGCACAGCCCTGGTCAGCCCAAATCAGCCAGTCCTACAAGTACTTGAAACTCCTGACAGGGTACTCTGCTGTTTTCAATGGCGGGGGCGCAGATAATTTCCATTTTTGCTTCTAATACTTTCATTTGTAATGATTGTTTGAAGTTACCTCAGTATAAAGATTTATATCATATGGGTGAAAATAATCCTGACTTCCCTTTATTATTATTTCTAGGTTGCTCACGAAAGAGCTTGGGACCACTACCATTTTACTAGGAATCAGTGGAGAGCTTTGATGTTCAACTGGGCCGAGGCAAGGAAAGCTTTTTTACTGAAGGCAGTAATGACTCTTGCAGAAGCTTGTGCTGCTCATGAGACAGAAATTATGTTGGCTAATAATAGAAGAAAACAACAGGAAATATGTGCGGATCTCAAAGAAAAGGTAGACTATTACACAACCGCCAATTACATTTATGTTGCCTTGTATCCTGGATTGTTCAATATTTGCTTAAGGAAAAAACGTTGCAGCAGCTATAATATGGACTCCCCCCCCCACCCTCTTAAAATGGAGATAGATTACTCCACACTCACAGTTACTAGTCTAGCTATTCTTCAGGGCTGCACTTTTTTATTGCATCCCTCTTGAGCATTGGGGGGTGGGGTGCATCTTGATTTGTTTTTCCTAGAACATTTGTGTACAATTTGTTTTTAATTTCTTTTCTGCTCTTGAGGCTTTATATTAATGGATCTGTTTTGCTTCAGCTGCACTCACGCCTATGGAATCATGCGCATAAATGGGTTTTCGTTTTGCTAATTTCATTTATCATGTCCTGTGTTGGTATATTGGTATAGCAGTGTGTTGGCTAAGTCCCCCTAGTAACAGGCATGCCTGAAGGTTTCAATGGGAGAAAAGGTTTCTCTGTCTTTTAGCTAAAATCAGGTGTAATAAGAGACATTACATTTGATGTGTGCCTGTCCTAGAAATTGTTTAATTTCTAGATGAAAAAAGTAGCCCAGTGACAGAACAGGGGGGATTTCCCACCCACCCTCAATTTTAGCCAAACCATGGCTGCCTTGCAGTCTTCTAAAAGAAGCAAAGATGTCATCACAAAAGGTAGTTTCTGCCTCCAGACTCCCTGTGAAGAACTGAAATAACCATAGAGAACAAATAGTCAGAGCAGTAAAGTTGGTGACAAGTAATGAAAAGAGAAATGAAATGTAAAAATGTTAGACACAAACATTAATTTGGAAATCTGACCTATGTCTAGAAGGAGGGGAGTCTAGCAATTGCCAACTGCACGATTAGCCAGAATCGATAGTTAGCAATAAACATCTTCCGCTCTGCCAAAATTCCTGGGTGCTTTTGTTCTGATTTATTGACATTTCGCCTGCATTCATCTGAATGCTGTGTTTTCAATACATCATCAGAGTGTCTACTAATTTGGTTACTGCTGTAATAAAATTGATAATGAAAGGATCCAGGGCAAGGTTTGAAGGCACTTCACCTGGCTGAAGGTAAGCAGGTGTGGATCTGTCCAGTACCTGGATAAGACCCCCTGGGAAGAAACACATTTACACTACCTTTGGGTTCCATGGCAGAAGAAAATGAATAAAATGTGAAGAAAACTTAATGGTTTCCCTATACATCTTACACACAGGAAGGTGTGGACCCCTGCAAGGAATTGAGAGGGAGGGATGAAAAATAATACATCCCCTTCATTTCCTTGCTCCCTTTCCTGGCCTCTCCATTTATCAGTATGTTTTCAACTGCTCCTCAAAATTTCCTTCTTTTTAATTCATATAAGAAAGATTTGAAAGCCCTTATGGCTCCCCACCCCACTCCCAAACAGAGTCTCCAGTGAGCTAAGATAGGACACAGCTCAGGAAAACTTGCAGCCCTTTGAAGCAAGGGAGATGTGTGTTCCCTGAACTTGGCTGGCCAAGCTCTGCAGCCTCTTTGAACTTGCTAGCAATGACAAGATTGAGGAGATGGAGCAGTATATTGTACTTCCCTTGTGCTTTTCCTCTAGGCAATTGTGCAGATTGGGTCAAAACCTGATTGGAGAGAATGGCGGTCCAGTGAGGGCAAAACCTGGTCTCCAGAGAAAGTAGAAACCATGAACTTGCCTTTGGATAGTCCTGTTTTGTTTCCAAACTGGCAGGCACACTACCACACAAGTTCGGCACTAGAGGGGTTGAAGATGATTGGCAAAGTGATGGCAGGCAAAGACCAAGATAGAACAATAACTCATAAAACAGGGATGGGAAACCTGTGGCCTCCCAGATTCTGTTGGACTGCCATTCCCAGTATGCCTGTCCATTGGCCATGCTGGCTGGGGATGATGGAAGTTGGGGTTCAGCAGCATCAGGAGGGCCACTGATTCCTTACACTTGTTGTAGAACAATTCATAATAAACGAATAATAAGATATTGTATTGCTAAATACCCATGCTTTGCCCCACAGAGCATGGAATGTGAAAGAGTGAATAAATTTTTAAAAAGGAACATTTTAATTGATTTTAACATGAACAAATTATTAGATGAATTTTTAATTCCATCAAAATCAGCAAGAGCTTTAAAACGAAACTGAATTCCTCCAAGGACAAATCCTTGGAGCATCTTGAGAAGCCGAATAGGGTAAATCAACAGAACCATATGGCTGCTTTCTTCTGGATTGCACCAATGGGAAACTGGGATATCTTTATAAACAAACTATCTGTTATATTGTGCAACATGGCAGTTTTCCCCAAACCAACACATTTGGCAAGTAGGAAGGCAAATGAGAATAGAATTGTTGAGATACTCATGTTGTCAGAAACTGTCTCGCTCCCCAAGAACATTGTGATATTCCTGTAAAGACTCTTGTGGTGATCACACAGGGTTCCTGGACGTTTGACAGTCTATTGATCCCTGTGCCACCACTGTGATTGCTTCCCCGCTGCCACCAACCTGTTACTCTCGGGTACACACTGAGTCCAGACAGTTGTTAAAATTAAACCAAATAAACAAGTTTATTTTATAAGCATTAACAAGTTTATGGTTTCTCAGATAATTTTCTTGTCAGTTTCTTAACCTTAGTTTCTTTACCGGCCTATATCTTTCTAATACCTTCTGACTGATTATCTCAACTGTTTGACTGACTCGTCTTAACAGATTCTCTCACTCTCTCACATCAGACTAGCCCAACCCACAGACTTATCCTCCCTCTCTCTTCTCTAACTCCAGACTGACTTCTTAACAACTCTTACTCTAACTCTAACTCCTCCCCTTGGGTTCCTATAGGTTAGTCATTTTACACTTAGTTAACCCTTTCCTTATGAACCCAGTATGATGTCACACACCTAGGGGGGCAAACGCCACAACTCTCCCTTAGTGCCTCCTGCTCCCAGGATCTGGAAAACATCTTCCTTGCCAAAGTCACCTCCTGATTCAGCCCATATGATGCCCCATCTGCTTATAAAATCCTTGATCTCTCCCCCCTCCTTTTAATCTTGTCTATGAAACATTTTTTAAATGTATTTTGTTACATCTGGATGTGTTCTGTCAATGAGCTGGAAGAACTTCAGGGCTCAGCTTCATAGTAAGGATTGGGTAACCCTTTCATTCCCAAGCGCATTCAGTCTTCACAAAATTGGGACGTTACTGTTTGTCTTCCTTTTTGTTGTTGTTGTTGTGGGACCTGTAACTAGGGAGCAAGTCAACTTTCTTCCCCACTCCAGTGCTGGCAAACAAAAACATTGCCTTGTTCTCTCCTTCAACCACAGAGTTGATAATCTGTGAGAGGCAGCCAACGCTATCCCATTACGTACTTCATCTGCCAACAAGATAGTGGCTGTAGACACTCCAATCTGTCCTCTGATCTGAAGGGCTGCTCAGAACTTAGTTCATGCTGTTTTTGGTAAGAGAGACATAGCTTGGGCCTTAGGAAAGAGTAAAGTTTCTTCCACAATTACTACCATCCACCACCACACACTGAAGACTAGAGAGTGTGGCTTTTCTGAGCTGCTGTTGTGATTTCCATCAGGATGCCACAGCTTTCTTAAGAACAGCCTGCTGGATTAGGCCAGTGGCCCATTTAATCCAGTATCCTGTTATCACAGTGGCCAACCAGATGCCTGTGAGAAACGAGTGAGCAGGATTTGAGCACAAGATCACTCTCCCCTCCCATGGTTTCCGGCGACTGGTATTCAGAAGCATTGCTGCCTCCAAATATGGAGATAGAGCATAGCGATCATGGCTAGTAGCCATTGATAGCCCTCTCCTGCATGAGTTTTGAATTAGTTGTAATAAAGCACTTGGAAAAGTCAGAGTTGTCTCTGCACTATTAATAATTCAGACTTTGCCTTTTTGTCCCAATTGTCCAACGGTTTAACTTTAAAGTCTTGTATTGGGAGTAAGATCCAGAGTGTCCCTTCTGCAAATGGAAGGGCTCATTCCATTAGTGGAAAAGTCGAAGCTGGGAGTTGATTTTCTCCAGTCACCCCTTTCCCTTACAGCTGCTTCCTTCCACAAACTCAGAAGCCTTTTTGTTGTTGTTGTTGCTTTTAAACCATTTTATTTTATAAACAAACATTACAATTGCAACCCTGGTGTAGTCAATAGTCGGGGGTGGTGGAGATGACTGATACATGATGATTGAAATATGACAGTGTCTGTGGGGACAAAGTTAAGAGCAGTAGAATCTTGGAGTGGAATTCAGTGTAGCACTTGTTAGGATTCTTTTCCCGTGTTGCAGTCATGGGATTGTTTTTATCACATGACGGCATATGTTTTCATTCCACATTGTGGGAAGTGATGGAGACAGGATGTTTTTATTACTGTGTTTCTGTGATGTAGGATTTTTGTCCTTTGCTCTTTCTCTTTGCTGTCTGATGCTGAAGAGGAAGAAGCTGAGTTATGATGCTCCAAGTGTATATATGTAAATAAACGTAGTTTAGCCAAATTGCTGCGCTACTGAATCTGAACACTGACTGCCTATACTCTGCTGATCCTGAAGTATGCTGATCCCTCTTGGTATCAGTCGCTGGAGAAAGCTTTTGAATCTCCTGAATGACCGACCAGGAGGGAGAGAACATGCCAGTCAGGCATGTGTCTCTGCTGGACTCCTAGTCATGTGTAGGACCTCCTGACAGCACTATGGCGTACATAGTTGACTTGCACAATGGGACTCCCCCCCTCCTTGTCTCTTCTCCCTCTGCCTCTGTTCCTCTCTTCTGTTCCCCCTTAAACCTACTTTGGGAGTTCCCCCAACCTTCCAGACCAGATTTAAGGGGCATGCAGGGGAAGGATAGGCAGGAAGTCCCATTGTACAAGCAATCCTTGTTCCACAAATGCAACAACTTAGTTGAATCCCACCCTTTGCTTGGCAAAATGCAAGATCTTAACTTTTACATCCATTTTTCTAGCAAGTGATTTCTTCTTAGGAATATTTTTAAAGTTATG